AACACTGATTAGCCTACTCAAATAAGTGGTTCACACCCCAAACGCAGTTATGACATACTCTGAGTGGCAGGCATGAGGTGAATAGAAATACTGTAACTCAATTTGCCCGATCGCAATCCCATTTTCCATATCCCTTATGGTATGGTTTCAGCTTCAGTATCAAGGTTCTATGTGCAGGTGCAACTAGCGAAGTCTAAATGTTGGTATCGCGGCAACACTAAATTGTGGACTATAGATTAGTCCTCCTTATTTTTTTTTTTTGTAGTTTCAGGCACTGATTTTCAAGCTTTTCTAGTGAGCTGCACTTTGTGTTTGGAGGTGACGTGTTTTTCTGCTGGTCAGCATCTTTGCCTCAACATTCTAGAGTTCTGCTTTCAAATCTTGGCTTAGGCCTTCTGTGTGGAGTTTGCCTGTTCTCCTTTGTTGTGTTAGTTTTTTCCTCATACGTCAGCCCCCTTCCACATTACAAAAACATGCATGTTGAGTTCATTGAAGATTCAAAATTGTCTCGGGGTGTGAATGTGGATTTAGCTGGTTGTCTTGTCGTCAGTTTTTTTAAAAGATGAAAAACCAACGCATGCGACAGTCATCACTGAAATAACTTGAAACTGATGAGTCTGGAATTTGTCGAAATGCATGTTGATTAGCCACAATGCTCATTGGGCAACATTGTTGAAACAATTGTGGGTATAGCCTCCAGGTTTGAGACAAATTTTTTTAACAATTGTTTTTTGAACTCCAAAGTGTATCACTTTTGGGGCCTTTAATTTCCCCTGTACTTACATGAATATTTGAGGCCTGTTACCATCTTGCCCATATCCAACTGCTTCAACAAGAGTATCTACTATTTAGTGATCTATTATACTGATCATTCCACACTTGATACAATTTTTTGCTCAGGCAAAAACACATTTGTACATCTGTCATACAATTATATTCTGTCGTCACATTTTAGCGCTGATGCGTTTTTCTCGTCCTCTCTCCTTTCTGCAGCGGCTCTGCAGGCTTTGAAAAGAAAGAAGCGCTACGAGAAGCAGCTCGGCCAGATCGATGGCACGTTGTCCACCATCGAGTTCCAGAGAGAAGCTCTGGAGAACGCTAACACCAACACTGAAGTGCTGAAGAACATGGGCTTTGCTGCCAAGGCCATGAAGTCTGCCCACGAAAACATGTAAGTGAGAGCTGCTGGCCACATATTTTCATTAATTGATTGAATTGTTGATTGATGAAGTACAGGAGTAAGATAACAATGTTTATATCCCCACAACGCTTGAGAGTCGGCTTGTAATCGGTATATTTTTTCTGAAGAATTCTGTCTTGTTTTTGACTACCGGTACTTTAAACTTCAGTACAGACAGTACTTAAGCTAGGGATGTTTGATACCACTTTTTTTTTTGTTTTGGACCGATACCATCCTCACCGATACCAAGTAACCAATACCACTAGTACTTTTGATGGATAAAATTTATGTTGAGCCAATTTCAGATAATTTTAAAGCAAGATTGTTTGTTTATTTCTGAGAAAAACGAAGAACAGTCACCTGCAGGGAACCCACTGAAATTCATAACTTGATGTTCCACTGTATTTATTTTGTAATTTTATTTTAAAAGTTACTTAATCAACAAGACACGACGTTTACATTTGCTTAGCGTTCCTGAGTAACTTTGCAAAATCTACTATTATGTACTCAGATGAAACTGAGTGGCCCAACCTGATTGTCAAAAATAAAATGTAAAGAAAATGTTCACAAGTCTGTTGCGAGTCCACGTGCATTTGTGCTCATTGTTGTTTCAGGGACATTGACAAGGTGGATGACTTGATGCAGGACATAACTGAGCAGCAGGAATTGGCCCAAGAAATCTCTGATGCCATCTCAAAACCTGTTGGCTTCGGAGAAGATCTGGATGAGGTGGGAAGCACCCTGTCTCCGAGGGCATAGCATTTGTGATTTAATTACACTTTGAATGGGATGCATTCAGAGAAACTATGAATGCATTCTTTCTCTACAAGACACTCACAGTCAGTCGATTTTAGCTATCCACTGTGTCCAGACATACAAAATATATTTTAAATGGACTATCTCAACAAGGCAATTCTGAAAGTGGACCTAAGCTCCCCGTTGAAGAAAAAAAATCTTAATTGTGTTGCTCAAACCCTGCAGTGTACATGCAGCATAAAACATACTGATTGCTGGTGTCGCTCGTTGTCTTCGTCAGGATGAACTTCTTGCTGAGCTGGAGGAGCTGGAACAAGAAGAGCTGGATAATACTCTGCTGGATGTCGGCGCAGAGGACGTCCCCCTTCCCAACGTGCCTTCTACTTCATTACCTTCCAGACCTGGTAAGAACTATTCAAATGAGCTCCTTTTTATTGAACTCTGAGAAAGATGCTCTTTGAGACGAGTGATCTTGTTCAACATTTGAAAAACACTGCAAAGGCAGAAATATGACAGCCCCTCACTGCGAGCATCGTCTCAGACTTGATCAATCACATTCAGAAAACAGACAATAAAGTAACATATTTTAAAGATCCAGTTTCATTGTCTACGACCTTATCTTTCTCATCTAGTTTTAATTCTTAATTAAATGTATTGTACTCTTCATGACCTGTGTGGCCAAAGTACCTTCAATAAGCAATCTGATTACTCTTTTAAATGTAATTCAAATACTTTACTGACTACTTGATTTTAAAAATAACTGTTGGATCACAAGTTACATTCTGCTGCTGCATAAGGCACATTTATGGGTACATGTTAATGACAGTTCTTAATGGCGGACACAATAACACAATATAAGGCCTCCGTATGGACATAAATCATCATGCTCACGAAGCTAACATTACATGGAATTTAGCAAAGTATGCTAAGTTAGCACAAAATGGGTGGGGACAACACAGAATTAATTTGGCCAATTTAACAAATGTATGCACACAAAATGGCGACATGATGATGAAAATAATAATCCTGAACTGGTTGCCAGCAATCGCAGGGGACACATAGATGAACAACCTTCCGCGCTCACACACACCTCGGGACAATTTATAGAGTGTTCCATTAACCTGCCATGCATGTTTTTGGAATTTGGGAGGAAACCCGAGTACGCGGAAAAAACCCACGCAGGCACGGGAATAACATGCAAACTCCACATAGGAAGCCAGGAGCTGGAATCGAACCCTGCACCTCTGTACTATGAGGTGGACGTGCTAACCAGTCTTCCACCGTGCCGATTGCCAGACATGGTTTCATAAATTTGTTCCGTGTCTTAGACCGAGTTAGTGGGGGAGCCATGTGTCTGATATTACGGACAGAAAAGAGAGCGGGAACGCTCTGGTCAGGGAGTGACGCCGCTTTACTGCTCGGCCCTCCCCTTTCTAGTCATCGGAGGAGGTGGGAAAAAAGCAGCTAGCCTATCGTCATTAACTTCAAAGAGGCGGCTTGTGAACTGATGTTTCTAAGCAGACAATAATATTAGAGCCACTTACAAGTCCCCTCAAAAAAACAAAAGAAAAGCTCATTATGCTCTGGTATATGTACTTGCGTTATTCATCTGAGAATCTTCTATTTCTCTCTTACCCAAGCGGCAAAGAAAGAGGACGACGAGGATGACATGGTCGACCTGAAGCGCTGGGGGATGGAAGCCATATAAACACATCACGCAACGCATCTCGCATACCTGTATCACGGACGGAGCTGAAAAGAGGAAGGAAGGCACGGATGGACTGCAAGGATGTTATTTTGTTTGTGTTGGAAGAAATCACTTGAACTCAATTTAACACTCCTCCCCTCCCTCAGCCCCCACAAAAAAGCTGAAATTTTGTCGTCTTTCCTTACCCGAGTCTTCGAATTTCCTCCAGTTGTTCACCTACGGGCTTGCCAATGGTGGCTCTTTCATATAGCAAAGTCACTCATATTTTATGAGAACCTGTCACTGAGACTTCATTTCAGTGTGACATTGTGAAATGACTCATAAACTGTCTGCATACTTTTCCTTTTCATTTTCCCAGCTTGCGTATAGTAAAAGAGATGTCGCAAGGGTGAAGTTATGATCTCTTCTCTGTTGAATTCAAACCCTGGTGTTTCACCCCAATCTATGTGCTTTGTCCTAAAACCCCCCCTGCCTCCCATCCTAAAATAATAACAATAATAATAATACCCACCTGCTCACCAGTGAGTGGTTAGTTATTTCCTGTAAATATCCAACACGTGTCTCTTTTTCTACTATGATATTTTCTGCCGCCACGAGAGCCTGTTTCAGTTAAGGGAAGCATGCAACATAAACTGAGATGTCAGCAAACACAAGCATGACAAGAAGAGGAACAAGTTGAGAGCATTTCAACACTTTCACCCTGATTCTGGTTTTCTCAATATTAAGGTCTATGTTTCAAAATGTTACGATGTTAGAATAATATGAACACGAACTATTGTCACATTTCAACTTCATCCACAAGGGGATAAAAAGATTGTCACTCTTTTGCATCGTTAACACTGGTTACATTTTGTTTTGAGTTCCAGAGTGTTTTAGAGTTTCAAATTCATGGTGTAGATTTCTTTACATTGTCAGGAAAAACACAATGAAAGTACAGATGGGCAAGCATGTATGCATTTCAATCTTTTATTTATCCAGATGAGAGTATTATTTGCAAATTCATTAAAAGAAGACAATTCTTGTATTTGTGTGACCTCTTTTTTTTAACTAAATTCTAGTTTGGTTGTAGCTATCTGCCGTGGATAAGTCACAACCGCTTTATTATAGTTTTCAGAATTTCAACAGAGTTGGCCTGCGATGGTGGGCCTAATTTGAGGATCTTTTAATCATTTGGGAACTGAATTATGAAGGTAAAGGTACTGTCTGACAGTTACTAATTTTCCTATAGATGCATGGAAATAAAAAATAAACACTAAAATGTTTGTTTAGTGGCAGTTAGTCATAGGGAAAAAAAGGAAAATGATTTTCGTATTTTTTGGTACTTCCGCCGATAAGCAACGTCGCGCGCGAATGACGTCATCAAACGCTGACGCATGCGCTTTCCGCCTTTCGCGCTGACGCAAGATACCTGCCGTGGAGAACCGATCGAGAAACAAAAAGTAGTCAGTTTTAAGTCACCGGCCCATTCGCAAACATGTCCGGAGACGAGGTATGTAATTCCTGGCTTCCTTGTCTTTCACACACTTAAAGTTATAGACATTCTACGGTGCACTATGTGAGTTGAGGGATCAGATAGAGGAGATGAGGATGACTTTGGGCCTCGGCACCCCTCCCCGTACGCTCTCAGTCTCACATGGCCGGTGCAGAGCTAACAACGGGGCGAGAACGCAAAACCAACTCGGCGATCTTCACTTTTTTGCAAGATCACACATAACACATTGTGCTGAAAGCCACCTTTCATAATGGTTTGTCAATATGGCTTGTCATCGCTGCTGGAAAACTGAAACCGAATGGAAATGTTCAGTCAGCTAGGTTAGCTAGCAATAGCATTAGCCTCAATATTGCACCTCTTGAACAACAAAATATATTTTTTTTCTCGTGTCGAATTGCTGACTTTGTTGTTACCAAATAAATACTGTGACTATTTGAAAGTAACGGAAGCGTCGATATCTGATCCTAGCAGACAAAGAAAAATACTGTGAGATTAAATTTTGAGAAACACGTAATTACGATAATAAAGTTGAAATCGGACGACGGCAGTGAGAAGAAAGTGTTAAGACTGTCGTTGTCATGTTAATAGAAACAAAATTAGTAATTTGCACTTAATCCATACTGTTCCCAAAATAAAGTCTAATTTTCATCATTTGAGCTATGAGTTATTTTATGATCATTGCGTGTCAAAAAACAAGTTGTAATAATGTTTATGAAGTTTTTTTTTTTATAGAACACACTTGTAACATATGGAGAAACAAGATTACAATTCTGAAAACTTGTTAAAGCGGTAATATAGGCCAATTACCGGTAAATCACCAGGGCCATAATTATGTCATTACACAAGAATAAAAGTGTAACAAATATTGAAGCAAATATTAGCATTAGCTCAAATTCCCACTTGTCTCCTTCAGATGATATTCGACCCCAACATGACCAAGAAAAAGAAGAAGAAGAAGAAGCCCTTCATGCTGGATGAGGAAGGAGACGGGGTTGGAGGAGAAGAGGTGAAAGAGATGGAAGTGAAGGAGGCAGAACCAGAGGCTGGTGAGGACAAGGACCTGGACATTGATGAAGATGACAGCAGAAAAAAAGGTTAGAATGTCGTATCTGTGTTTTAACTATGAGATGTACTACGGCACCTACCCCTGAAGTTTCAGTATGAGTTGAATCCAGAATATTTAAGATTGTTATTATTTCCAGAAACATCTGATGATTTGAATGACCTGAACTTCTTCAACCAGAAGAAAAAGAAAAAGAAACCCAAAAAGGTGTTTGATAACGATATTGAGGAGGGGATGAAAGTAAGCAATGTCTCTTTTTCACTTTTTTCCATCAGTGTTTCAATTTAATATATTTTTTCAAGTTTAAACGAGTTTTTCTTTTTTGTTCAAACCAGGAGCTTAAAATTGAAGGAGACCAGAGTGATGTTCTCGAGGAGGACAACCTGGACCTGATGCTCCCTGCCAAAAAAAAGAAGGCTAAAAAAGTCGACTTTGATGAAGGAGAGCCTCTTGAAAAGGATGACGGTAATTTGTTTATCAGTTCAAAACAATTCACTTCATGTTGATCATACACATCAGCAAGGCCACAGGGCCACCAAAATCTCAAAAGATTTGAATTTATTACCAATAAGCATTCATAAAAGGGCGACTAACAAAAGTACATTACATGTATGTACAGTACGTCTGTCTTTCTTTCTGTCTGTCTGTATGTATGTCTGTCTTTAAAGTTCGCACCAACAAGCCAATAGATTATGACCACTCGCACAAAATAACGACATCCAACCCAAGAGCGATCTCTACAGATTTGTCTTTTTGTTTGGGCCTGTCACAATTATTACTGTATTCACTCGTCGCTTGATCAGAAAAAAATGCACACGGTTGTTTTTTTTTTTTTTTTTTGCTTGTTTTTTGTTTTTTTTAACTCGACAAATAGTCACTGAGGTGCGTGGTTGTTAACGTACGTCGTCAACATTCACTCACGCTGCTTCGTTGCCTTTTGCGTCAGTCAGCCTTCTCACCGCTGTGTGCGAGTTGGCTCTCGCTCAAACACACACATAAACACTGGGGTGGGACGGCTTTTGAAACTCTTAAACAGTTTGACTTGCATGCGCCCAATCGGTTCATAGGCGCACACAACTCTTTGTCTCATTTATTAGTGAGCCGCAACAGTAGTGCTAATAATAGCCGTGTAGCACAAATGCTAGCCAGCGGAACCATGTACACGAATGGGCTCTCCGCGTCTACGTTGCTCTTTTTGTGTCATTTCATTGCTCGTTTAGGCACCATTCATTCTGCAGACATGCGTTACACCCACCAGGAACCGAAAGAGCCTGCCGACTGGCACCAGATATCCGTTTCGAGTGCCACAATTGACAGCGAGACCAGCGCAATGAGTCTCCCGGCCAACTTCAAAATAAGCCTTACTCAACCACATCATATATGTGCTAGCAGTGCTAGTGAGAGCTAGCGATTACTTTTCAAAAGTAGTTTATTAGACGTAAATAACAGCACACTTTGATGCTGACCGCCTGACACGGTTGCCATGCTACTGTTTAGCAAACCAAGCTTACTCAAATGTGAAATATGCTGTTTTTGACAGCGAAATCACTGCTGTTGTTGTGACGTCACTTTGCGGACAAGTGGCGCGTGTACGAGCTCGTACATTGCGGTACTTGTCATGGTCACTGCAACACTCAGTAAAATGCAAAACAGTTTTTACACCATCATATCTTACCTATTTATACAGCCTGTAATTTAAATAATCAAATAACATGTGAGTTTAATGCTGTATAATGAAGTGCAACTGATGTATTGGTTCAAATTAAGTAAATCCGAATGATTTTTTTTTCAGAAATATTTTTATTGAGATTGTCACTTTTTACTATTGTATTAAAATTATTTTCTTTTTTTCTTCTTCACTTATCTCTATCCCTACTTTTGTCTATTTGACTTGTAAAGCGTCACGTGTACCCTAAATGGTGCCCTTTGAATGAACTGTGTAGTACTTTATAGAATTTACCATATTTCTCGTCTGCATTATTTATTAGGATGTAATGAGTCAATTATTTTTGTATGATGTTATCCAGCATTGGAAGATGATGAGGGGAAAAACAATGATGGCATTTCATTCAGCTCGACCACAGGACCAGCCTGGGCTGGCTCTGAAAGAGACTATACGTATGATGAGGTAACAACACACACACAAATATCTGGTACAGCAATTTGGTATTTCGACACTTGTCATGAATATGTTTACAGTGGAACTTCCAATTGTTTTTATTTCAAAACCTTTTTTCCTCCCCAGAGGAAAAATTGAAAGGTGTTCCAGAACGAAACTCTTACCATCATAAAACTTGTAACATTACCGACCATTTTTCATGTACCATTTGAATTTTCTTAGCTGTCTTACAACTGAAAAAAATGATCACTCAAGTCTTAATGCCCAGTGGCACTCGTTAGCCTTGTTAGCATGTTGCCTGAGCTTCTGCTCCTGTTTGTGAACTTAATTTGTCATTTAATCTAGTAATAATTTGTTTCCAAAAAAAGGTGAGACAAAATGTCCGCCTCAAAAGTCTCATTGCAAAGCATATGTAACTAACGAATGGACAGTGCATCCACGATCTCCAACACAAGGTATCGTTGTTAGCTAGCTTACAACCACTACTTAAGGGTACTGTAATGCCCCTACAAGTGGTCAAGAATAGACCCAGCTGCTGGTCCACTTTCAGTATTGAACAATTAGAAACAACATAAACATCATCCACTAGCTGCTCGGTCTAAGAATGTGAATGAACACCCATTAGTTGTCACACAACTGTAAACAAAAAAAAAAAAGAGTGTATTGTGTGTCAATTGTCTCTCAGCTCCTGAACAGAGTTTTCAACATCATGAGGGAAAAGAACCCCGACATGGTGGCGGGAGAGAAGAGGAAGTTTGTCATGAAGCCCCCCCAGGTCGTGCGAGTGGGGACCAAAAAGACCTCCTTTGTTAACTTCACAGATATCTGCAAACTGTGAGCCTCCATCCAGCCTAAATCTTACAGTGAACTGCCCGTGCGTCATCTTGTACGAATATCTCCAATGTATGTTTATGGTCATTTAACCGCAGGTTGCATCGTCAGCCGAAACATCTTCTCGCCTTCCTATTGGCTGAGCTCGGAACAAGGTCAGGGTCGACATTTGCACTGTTTATTTCACATGTATTTTCAGTTCAAGTAGTAAATGTACGCTAAAGGACAAAAGTGTGACTTGTTTTTGTTTCCTTTCAGCGGTTCCATTGACGGTAATAACCAGCTTGTGATCAAAGGAAGATTCCAACAGAAACAGATCGAAAACGTCTTGAGGAGATATATCAGTAAGTAAAATTAGCACACCGTGGTATCCCGCTGCAAGACTTGGGATGTTTTTGGTGTGTAGAATGTGTGTCTGTTTTTTTTTTAAGCATGTTTACAACTTTTACCTGTACTTGGGGTCATGACATGGGCCAAAAAATGAAATTGGCTATGAAGGAATCTATTGCCTTTGAGGTAGAGGACTGCTTTCATCCTCTTGTGTCTGGGATTACAAAAGCAAATTCTACAAATTGTTACATGTTTAAGAATGGACCTAAACTGCGTAAATGAAAACATACAATACCCTACGCCTGAACATTCGGAAAAGCGAACAGACAAAAAGGAGCGTTAGCTAAAATTTGGTTCAGAATAGTTCCACCAAATCCATGATGTGCCATAGTATTCTGCATTGTGTATTTTTAAAATTAATTGGACGATTAACTGGTAATCTGTGTTTTTTTTTTTTTTTTCCTGCCAAAATCGCCCTAAAAAAATTCATATCGATTGAGCCCTTGTAAAAATCCATTTAAAAATCGCAACATAGAGGGGGCATGAACACTATAGATTACAGGTAGGAACACTGCAGATTAATTTGTGAACTTGCGAGGGATCACTGTGAACCACAACGAAAGCTACTGTAAATATCTGCGTATGCTATATATTTAAGATCATTTCAGCAGCAGTTTAGCTTGTTTATTAACAATTTGTATCTCACAAGAATGTTGGGTGTTGGTAAATAAATAATTACCAAAGCCTGTTTTTCTAGTGAACAATTGTCATGAACCAAGTATACAATGTTATGATTGTCGGGTGAAGTAGGCCATTGCTCAACTCCATTTATGTTCTCCCCCGCCCCACCCCAACTCACAGAGGAGTATGTGACGTGCCACACATGTCGCTCCCCCGAGACCATCCTGCAGAAAGACACCCGCCTCTATTTCCTGCAGTGCGAGACGTGCCACTCGCGCTGCTCCGTCGCTAGCATCAAGACCGGTTTCCAGGCCGTGACGGGCAAGCGGGCGCAGCTCCGCGCCAAAGCAAACTGAAAGGGCCATCGCGAATGGGTTTGCCCCCTCCTCTCTTCTCCTGGCTTCCCCTCACTCCTCGTCAGAAGGGTCAAGGCTGCGTCAGGAAGCTTCCACTATTCTGAAAAGGACTTAATGCATTGAAGTGCAGGTGGATTGGGCTTGATCATGGTGTGCTGCCCCAAGTGGGTGGGAGGCCGGATGTCTAACATCTACGTTGCCTAATGCGTTTGGATTATTTTGACCCTCTACATTTTTGCTGTCATTGTTAATTCCTGCAATAAAGTCTGATTTATCAAAAGTTGCATGTTCCCTGTCCTTTCCTCTCACAGTTTAACGCAGCACTTGGTCCAAATCCATGGTCTCAGTTGTAAGATGTCGTGTTGTGTGTGTATTCAAAAGTGATGAGGTGAAAGCATAACCGCCATATTTGTGAAAGTAAGCAAAGGCATAATATGTTGTGGTTGTTAAGTGCTTCAAAAAATTAGTGGACTGGTGCACTGTGGATTGCTTTTGTGTTGCCTAAAATCCAAGGATCACCTACTTTAGTGGTTTGTATTAGTGGTGAACAAGACAAGACTGCTATTGTTCTACTCGTGTCCGTATCAACCATACTGCCAGACCTATGTGCAGTGCCTGTACACTGAATCAGAATGTATGATTAATATTTATTTAATGACCTAGCTGAATTTTAGGTTATTTTGATCTGAAAATAGTCCAAATCAATTATTTTAGGTTTCCACAAGAGACTTTATCTAATGGGTGGATGAATATTTATCCTTAGGGGCTGCATTTGATTTTTAAAAATGACACATGGCCCAGGTCACTCATAGATGAGGTGGGAAAAAATTTAAACTCAAATGCCAATGTAAGCTACTGGTAGTTTATTTTGATGATAACATATTTTCATTGGTATGAAGCAAAGTGGTGAAGATATCACAATCCGCTGCTCAAAGAAGAATTAGAATAAATATACAGGCCTGACTATAATATGCAAATTACTCATCAGCAAAAAGATTTGAAAGGCCAGATTGGATTTTGCAAATACTGGAAGTACAAAGATGAGCCTCAAAGGTTTTCGAGAAAACTATATGCCCTCTCTATCCCAGCAGGATGCTCCTTCAAAATTCGCATTAATCTATTATTGATCGGCGACATACTGGCACCTTGTTTTCGACCAGAGGGCGGTGGCGTGTGGCTGGGGCGCTGTGGATGCTCTGGGCTGCCGCCCCGTTGGCCGCGCCCTCTGCACGCCCTGTTCCACAATCTTGTATCTTGAAGGAAAATTGCAACTATTCTAAATTCGATTATGACAGTAGTACTCATAAGGACATTTTTTATATATACAACGCTAATTCTGGATATACAGAGTTCAATCGAAATTGCGTTTTAATGTGAAGTTTGGATGCCGGAAGTGATTTGCTGCTCACGGATTGGATTGTATTGGGCTTGAGAAAAAGAATCTGACGTCATCGACCACATTTTTTTCCTTTTTTTAAATCGCCCGTTGTTTTTTTTTACCCCCTTCCTCTACGCAGCTAACGAGCAGCAGTAAAAAGCGTTCGCGAAAAGGTTTTCGACCGATTCAACATGCCTCGCGTTTATATAGGACGACTTGGCTACCATGTTCGCGAAAAGGACATACAGCGGTTTTTCGGCAGCTTTGGCAAACTATTGGAAGTGGATTTGAAAAACGGGTGAGAGTCTTGCTGTGGCCTAGCTTGCTTCAACGTCAACCAAAATGTCCGAAGCGTTTCCTTCTTGTCAGTCACCGAGCGTCTTCTACTCATGCTCGCGTTTGCCAAACAGCATTAGCATAATTTGCATACATGGTAAAGTTTAAATGTGTGGTTTGCACTGCCCGTATAGTCTACAACACGGTCAGTCAGTTCTGGTAACTATAAACGGGACGTTTTAGTTCAACGCCGCATGGCCAATATGGCGCGTGGAGTTCGCTACAATGCTAACGTTAGCCTAACGCGTGGAAGGTCCCAGCAAACGTACTTTGGATTTGGTTATTTTTGAGATACGATGTCGTCACGTATTTCTGTCAACAGATACGGTTTCGTGGAGTTCGAGGACAACCGGGATGCCGACGATGCCGTGTACGAGCTGAACGGCAAGGATCTGTGCGGCGAGAGAGTGATCGTCGAACATGCCCGCGGGCCTCGGCGGGACCGGGATAGCTACGGTGGGGGTCACTGGGGTGATGGGCGCAGTAAGTGCAGTCTGTTACAACAATACCATCTTGACTCCTTCGCCTCGGTGGGAGGTGTGGATGTAGACTGCACACAGTATTTCTCGGTTGTTCTCTGGTGCTAGCGAACGTAGACTTCACAGAAGGCCTCGTTTATAATGTTATACTCTAAGCTCCTTTGGATTCATGTGTGGAAGTTTGCTAATCTAATCAAATGAGAATGATAACTTTCACAGTTATGATGGCGCTTTGGTTTCACGGTCCAACCAATGGTTTCAAATTTTTGTTTGATTGGTACAGTGGAACCCCAAAGCAGGGATGGCACTACTCAGTGAACCCACGTTATAACACAGTTCACCTTTCATGGCTTCGGTGTTTCACGGATTTTCTGGTGTACCGGAATTCTTTTTTTTTTATTTTTTTAATTCAGCGTTGAAAATAGGTTTCGTGACGCACAGAGCCATCTCTGATGAAAATTTGTTGACCAGTGTTATAAAATTCTAGGAATTTGCATGTAAGAATACGTTTAATACATCTTAGAAAGAGACATGCATTTTTTTCACAATATGAAACATTTTCCAGGTGTTTTAATGACATGTTTATATTAAGGCTTTTTTCACCCAAACAGCTCAAGGAAGTATTTACAGAAATATTTCTGCAGTCTATTTCTTGCCATGATCGAGTGCACCAGCGTTTATCACGCTGCAAATATTGCTTGGCCAATGGCGAATCCGATTTTGTTTAAATCAGCAGCCAGTGGGCTGAATCTCACAGACGCATTCCTTTTGGTGCTTGGCTGTCTCCTCTTCTTCATCAATTGGCAGTCAGTCTCCACTGCGGTCAGCTTTTTGATTCTTTGGTGGAACCAAGGTCCAGAGCGCCAACTAAAAGCATTTTAACGTGTGTCAATGGCACGTGAGTACATCGCCAACACAAATTGACCCCCACCCACAATCACAGAGAAATCACATAGGACATTTGGGATTTTTGAGGTTCCACTGTATTTGCCTGTCCATACAGAACTATTGTTTTAGTTTAGTTTTTGGGTGTTCATCTCTTTTGTTGTCGTATGTGGTGGTCAGCCATACGAGCAGTTGATTTTATTTATACCTATTGTCTTCCTTTGGATCTTAAATGATAGAACTTGTGAGTTGTTGTACCTCCCTGTCAAGTTGAAGCCACTCTTTGTCACACTTTGTTATACCTGTTTTGTGTCATTATTTGTTTGGGAGGGACAACAATTTGCGAGACGCGCCCAAGAAATGGTGAACCAAGACTTTTTATATGATCGTAGCAGTTATTATGGCCCATGAGAGAAGCTTATTAAAAAGTTTTCTGTGTGGATTTGCTTTCCAGATTTGTGTGCCTCACAATTAGTCACTGAAGCCACACCAGGATAATTTTTCATTGAATCATCTGTAGTAGACTAATATTCTCATGTGATGTGTATTTTTTTTTTTTTTTTTTTTTTTTTTTTTAAACATACATTTTTATATTCAACATTAACAAAGTCCTTGATGTTTCAATTTGAAAGAGTCCAGTTGCGGGCTGAGGCTGAGAGTCCATTGAGGCTAAGATGACTGGCTGTCCTGTTTGGCCTTGGCTTTCACCTTTACAATGTGTGTGTGACCTTTGCCCCCCCCTTGATCCTTGGCTGACCTAACCGGAAGCCATGATGACATCAGCCTTTTGCCAATAGACCAGGGGTGATGGTGAGGATTGCCGTTGGTTTCTATGTTGACAGCAAACACATGCGGAGTGGCTCTAGTACTCAACTTGCAATCGTACAAATGTTGTGAGTAAAGTGTAAAACGAAACATTTGTTACCTAGCCTCAATCTTACCTTTAAATTTGGTAACGACCAGAACCTCCCATATGGATGCCTCCTGTGTGTCTTTGTTACAGGGTTTGGAGGTATTGAAAGAACATCACTGTCCTTTTTTTTGTTTTATGCCACTAAGCCAAAATCCCGTACACCAGAGTAAGAAAGAGGCTTTGCATTGTCGGGGAAGGCTGCAGTGGTGTTCTTTGCAGCAGAGCTCAACCACCAAATACACAAAGACCCAAACTTTGTAAAGCTCACGCAGTGGCTCCGAAGCCTTGTGATTAAGTTATGGTGCCAGGGTGACCCTGTTTTCATTACATGCACACTTAAATTATCCTCATATCAGGCAAGGCTCTATCACTACCTTGACCAATTAATTTTTTGAAGCCACGGTGATGTTTCTGACTATGTCCACATAATGTTGTTTTTAAAGGCAGCAGTTACGGCAGCCGGAGTCGCACAGGCAGGGACAAGTACGGACCCCCAGTTCGTACAGAATATCGTCTGATTGTGGAAAACCTGTCAAGCCGTTGCAGTTGGCAGGACCTCAAGGTGCAACTTGAACCGTCGCTTTTTAGCTCTTTTTGTCAGTGCTGTTGGCCTCACTCTCCAGTCTTTTCCAGGATTTTATGCGTCAGGCAGGTGAAGTCACTTACGCTGATGCCCACAAGGAGCGTGCCAACGAGGGGGTGATTGAGTTCCGCAGCCATTCAGATATGAAGCGCGCTATTGACAAGTTGGACGGGACGGACATCAATGGCAGAAAGATTCGTCTGGTGCCGGACCGGCCTCGCAAGCGAAGGTCCTACTCTGGCAGCCGTTCCAGGTGGGGACTGCTTCTCAGCTACTCTTTTGTTTTTGATGGAAAAATGAATTAATAAATTCGAATGTATGTACTACCCTTGGCAGATCTCGAAGCCGCCGTCGCTCCCGCAGCAGGAGCCGTAGGAGCAGAAGCTCCAGAAGTCGCTCCAGATCCAAATCTAGGTGAGAAAAGTCATATTTGGCTGTCCCGTGGATCTTGTGATGTTGGAATTTCCAGAAAAACAAGAGCCATAGCAAATAATGGACATGGAAAATTCCAAAATATAATCTTTAACTGTAAGAAACATTAGCTTTAATAAACTACTCTGAAAATACTACAACCACAGGTCAAGTACTGCAAAGAACTTTATTTTAAAGGGGAAATAAAGTAAAAAACAATACAATTACAATGTGTTCTATGCCCCCCCCCACCCCCCTACTCATCTAAACACGGGATTCTGATTAATATTGGATTTGT